ATAAATAAAAAAAAACAGATGCTGGTGAGAGTGTGGAGAAGAGGGAACACTTCTTGTTCCCTTGTTGGTGGGAATACACTTCTTGTTGGTGGGAATACACACTAGTCCAACCTCTATGGAAAAAGCGCTGTGGCCCTTCTTAAAAGACCTAAAAACTGACCTTCCATACGATCCAGTAGTCCCTTTCCTGGGAATATACCCGGAGGAACATAAATTGTTCTACAAAAAGACACTTGCGCACACATTTATTACCACATATTCACCAGAGCAAAAAACATGGAACCAACTATACCGCCCATCAAAAGTGGACTGGAAAAAGAAAATGTGGTACGTACACACGATGGAGTATGACACAGCCATGAAGAAAAACAAAATCATGGATTCACAACAAACTGGATGGAGTTGGAGACCATCGTACTTAGTGATCCATCACAGAAACAAAGAACTGAATACTGAATGTTTTCACTCATAAGTGGGACCCAAACATTAATTACATTAGCACAAGGGAGGAATTAGCATCGCTGGGCCCTGCCAAGGGAGGGAAGAAAGGAGAAGAAGCATACAGCATCACAAAGGGTACCTGGTCCTATACCAGGGGAAGTGAGGGCCAGTTGGAGGTCCAAACTCCACTGTAACTAATCCTGACTCCTAGCCTACATCTATAATAAAAAATGAAGAAATAAAGTTTTTTATATCCTGGGGCCTGGGCTGTCTCTGGACTATTTTTCCTGCCCCAATGTTCCTCCCGCCACCCAGCATATTGACACATCAAACACTTTCCAGTTCCTTGAGAATTTTCTTTCGTGGCTCTGTGCCTTTGACCCATTGTTCTCCATCTGGCAAACTCCTACTCATTCTTCAACACCCTCCTCTTTGAAGCCTTTCCTGGCCCTCCGCCTCTTCTGTGTCCCTATAAATCTATGGACTTAATTCCATTGCATTGGGTTTTTTTGTTTGTTCGCTTTTTGTTTTTTTTAATTGGAGTCTCACTCTGTCACCCAGGCTGGAGTGACGGTCACCACAACTTTGACCTACTGGGCTCTGGAGATACTTCCACCTCAGCCTTCCAAGTAGATGGGACTACAGCACGTGCCATCAGGCCCAGCTAATTTTTCTTGATTTATTATGGAGATGAGGTCTCACCAAGTTGCCCAGGCTGGTCTTGAACCCGTGGACTCAGGCAATCCTCTCACCTCGGCTTCCCACTGTACTTGGCTCATTGCATTATTTTTCAATATCTTGCCCTAGTGTCTTGCACCCCTACAGACATGAGAGGCAAGAACCTGTTGGATTTTCTTTGTCTTTTTTTGTCTTGAGACGTCCATCACCTAGAATAGAACCAATGCCTAGCACATAGTAAGCGCTCTTGGTTCAAAATAAGTGTCTGGCAGAACAATGATTGAATGACTATGTATACACTATGTAATATTTGTATATGGTTCTCAGTCCCGACACTATTGGCATCTGGGGCAGACAGTGCTCCGTGTGGGACTGTCCTGGGCAGTGTAGCATGTTTAGAGGAGTCACTGGCTTCTACTTGCTAGTTGGCAGTAGTCCTTCCCCAGTCATGACCACCAAAAGTGTCTCCACAATCGAAATGTCCCCTGGGGGTGGGGATCAATGATGGAGAAGCTGGTCTTACAAACTTGTAAACAGCCAAAGAAGGATCACCCAGTTTACCTTTGATCTTGTCGATCTCATTTTCAAGGGCTTAAGGTAGAAATGATAGCAGCCCATGGAGTCAAGAGGAAAAAATGGTATACTGACTTCTAAGGTTCATTACTTGTTTTTAAAACAAAATGCTTGTTAAACGAGTAAACCGACAAAATTTTAAGTCCCTAATGTAGGCCCCTAAATGGCATTATGTTTAAAAGACCAAAAGTAGACTTTTTGGAGCATCACAGGGGCCAGACAGAGAAATGGTGATGGAGTGACCACTGCAGAGTCCGTTGCAGCTGTCACAGCATCCAAACCAGCTGCCCCATGGCGAGGTGAGTAAAGTCCACGAAGGGACTTGCAATGAAAAATGCCATGGAAGGGGCATGGGTCTCGCATCAGGCTCCTTAAAGGCACGCGCTGAGGAAAATCCTTTGCAACTTGGTGGCAGACTCAAACATAGGGAAAGTCGTGGGGGTGGCAGAGCTGGGTGAGTTCCCCGCTGTCCACGTGACCTTCTTCTACCTTCAAAATGGTACCAGAGCTCCTGGCATTTCTCTGTCAGTGGAGACTACAGTCACTATATCACCTGTTCCCGTGGAATGAGCACTGCTGTAAGAGACAGTGGCCTGTCTCTTACAATGGGAGGGGACGTGTGGGCGGGGCCACGCCTGCTGGCATCTGCCACTCACACACCAACTGGGGCACCGGCCTCGTTCCCCACGTGCTTTTGCCACCACCCTGGCCGTGCGTATCCTGAGAGGGGAGCGAAGGCTCCACACAGGTGTCTACTCGAGTCAAAAGTGGTTAGAAAATGTTATTTTCTATTAAAGCAAACACAGACACAGAGGGAAGAAGGATGCAAAGTTCAAATGAGCTCAAAAGACGTGAAATGTCATGCTTCAAAGAAATTGCACTTGCAGGCCAGCTACCTGGGACTAAGCCCTGACATATGTAGCCTCTTTGCCATGTGCGAGCATTTCCTTGATAGAGTGTGAGCACCCTCCTCACTTCCCGGGTGAGAATACAGCGGCTTGCTCATAAGCAGAATCTGACCCAGAGCAGTGTCCTGGAACTCCATCCCCAGACACAGAGCGGTCAGTCCCTCTAATGCCCACGTTCCCTCATAACAGTCGTGCCAGAGGCATCTGAGGCATCCTTTCAGATTTTCAGATGGAAGCTCTGCGTGTCTCATTAAAAAAGTTCCAACCATCTGCCAGATGGGAGAGGGCACATTAGGGCAGTGGGCCCTTCCCCGCACCCGACACAGGCCTGGCTGCCAAGCCTTCCTCTTTTGTGCTTTTTGCAGGATTTAGGGCATCCCGGTTTTCTCCTGAGGAACCCTTCTGGCCACTGACCCTTCTGCCGGCAAAAGAGTTCAGAGTTTACCTAGCTTATTATTAATTTTGCAGCGCTGGGGGGAAAAGCAGAAACAAAGGGCTGGGCGTTTTTCGGGTTCATAACTAGGCCTGGCCTCTGCCCAGTGGGACATCATTTGCATAGGCCATGTGACTCCATTGATATTCATGAATTCAAAAACAGAATTCAAGTGCAGAGTGTTTTCCTTCCAAGACCCCACATGCTCCAGAGAAAGGAACTTCTCCAGGCCTACTTCATTGCCTGGAAATATACATGGGGGTGGTCCCAGGGGTTGGTCCAGGGGGCTGCAGGAAAAACTCTTAGGACCACTAGACGTCGGGCAGAGACAGCTGGGAATGTAGAGGGTAAGTAAGCTGTGTGTGTGTGTGTGTGTGTGTGTGTGTGTGTGTGTGTGTGTGTGTGTGTGTGTGTGTTTTCTGGCTATAGAATCCTCTGATTTAGGTTCCATAAACACGGGGTCTGGTCCAGATTCCCCTCTGAGGACCCTTACTCTCTGTATACTATCATCCACGTGGTCACAAATTCTCCCACTGTAAGGAAGAGAAAGGGGCCTTTTTTAAAAACATTATTCACTCATTCATTCATTCATTAAGCCAGGGTCTCACTCTGTTGCCCAGGCTGGAGTGCAGTGGCACAATCACAGCTCACTGCAGCCTTGACCTCCTGGACTCTGTCGATCTGTCTATCTCAGCTTCCCGAGTAACTGGGTCTACAGGTGTGTGCCACCACACCTAGCTAATTTTTTTAATTTCTTGTAGAGACAAGGTCTCACTATGTTGCCCAGAATGGGAGAAAGATATTTTAGACAGAACAACCAAAAAAAAAGTACTGATTCTTCTTCCAGGCAGTGGCCTATTGACTGTGATGCCGATAATGTTGATTAATCAGTCCCTGCATCTCTCTCTTGCGTGCGTCCTTTCCAAGTTCTTAGGTTTATAATTTTGTGCTCTTTTCCCTAGGCAGGGCCCCAAATTGGGTAAGGGGTGTGTTAGAGTCAAGCCACACAAAGCTTGAGGCTGTCCCTACCATGGGACACTGTGGTTCTGTGTGTAGTAGGATTAATTAGTGGGTTAAATATTTTCTTCCTTGAGGAAGAACTTAAGAGGACAGAGGCTGGAGAGAGGCGCACTTGACATGAAGGGAACAGGGCGAGTTCTTATAACACAAAATCTGAACTTAGGCCAGATGGTTGTCCCGGTGTATTTAACAAAAAAACTGCTGTTTTTTTTGTTTACATTACATTAATTTTTCTTAAAGCTGTTGAGAAATACTTGTGTACTAAGCAAGTATGTTAAGCATGTCTTGACAAAGAACAGAAAGTATTAGACTTTATACATGATCTACCCAATAAAACACCTAAGGGAAGGTATTTTTCCCCACTTTGGAGTTAACAGAGGCTCCTTTCCTCTCCTGGTTTTCACTGGTAGTTAAATGACTGCTCTGTCTGAAACTTCCAACTTGTACTGCCAAGGCCCTTTCTCTGTCCACTTACACAAGCTCTGGACTCCCCAAAATTTGCTTGTATATACTATGTTCTTGATCACCCAATCCACTCTTCCCTGACACACAGCCATACCTTATTTTCATCAAAGGACCAATTAATTCTATTGTGATATTCTCTTGTTCTCTTATATTTGCTTATTGTTTAGATAGTGTAGTATCCATGAGGGTAGATGCCCCTTTTTAAAATTTAACGTGGTAGAATCACTTATTGATGAATTAATCCATAGACTCATTCATCCATCTATACATACATTAAAGAGTATTTATCAAGTGTCTCTCTGTAACCTTCTGAAGACCCAGCAATGAACAGGATAGCAGTCACATGAGTCCTCATGGAGCTTATAGACTGAGAGACCAACTGCAACTCTTGTCCTCCTGGTCCTTCTTACCTTGTCATCCCCTAGACCTTCCAAGTCCCCAGCAAACCCAGATGTGATGCTAGACAAGGGAAATCTACTTACTCAGGCACCTCTCCAAAGCCCTCCAGAGGCTGTGCTTCTGCAGCGTAGATCTTGGCGTAATATCTGGCAGTATTTTGAACATAGCATTCCTATATCACCCAAAGATGTAGAAAATCCAACTGATTAGAAGAAAGTCAGAATGTTGCCCAGTAAGACTAATGCTCTCTCCGCCACCTCTGATCTCAAGAGTTCTGTGTCTTGGTAACACAGAGAGGTAAGAACTGAATGAGGGACTTGAGTCACTCTTCATAGTTTGTAGACTGACATTAACCCAAACTCAGGAAGGCAGGAAACAAGACAAATGCTGACCCTGTCCCCCTCCATAAAACAAACCAAAATAAAACACGCCAGAAATTACTGCTTGTTCTATCTGTCCTTGGGAATCCTGGCATCCAGTGTAGGTTGGAACCCCCACTTTTCACGCCATCCTATGTCCAAGTAGATTCAAACCCCCAGGGATCTCACAGCGCTTCCTAGGAATAGAAATGAGCATATCCCAGGGTAGAACTGGTGAGGTGTCTCCAGGCATTGACTGAGTCCCAACTAGCTGACTCGAGACCACGAAATTACTCCTGAGGAGTGAGAAGTGATCCCCAGCAATTGGCCTTAACCCAGGGAATCCCTTATAACCACACCCTAACTCTTTTGGAGACACTCCCATCAATTCTGAGTCCGATTTTCATCTCAAGTTATCATGGGTCCCTCTCACTCCAGAAGTGACAACTTTGGGGCTGATGGACCCACCTGGGTAGCAAGTTTGTAGTTCCTTTGGACGAGCTCATCATTGTTTCTGGTCCCGTAGGCAACGGCATTGTGCACCTTGAGCACGCAGGCGTGGCCGGGCTTGAAGACAGGCGTGAGGCCCTGCATCACTTTACTGCGGAAGGCTTTGCGGTGGACTCCTTCTCCAAAGTGCAGCTCCTCTGTGGCGATCTGACCACGCAGGTGGTCCCCAAAGTAGCTGTCGTGGAGGAAGTCTTCTCTGAAGATGAGCTGACTGAATTCGATTTCTTCACATCCTAAAACACAGCACGGCTTTGGTTGGAAAGACTTCCCCTGGTTCTGCTCCTTGGCTAACCCTGCATGGGGAAAGTTCCCACATAAGGACAACGACAGGGCTGACGTGCAGAGCCAAGAAGGAGAAGCTTAATCCCCAACAGAGGCGTGGCCAAAAGAAGACATAGGTGGGGTGGGAAGGAGAAGACAGGTCACTGAATGAGGATGTGGGAAGATCAGTGGGGGGTCCCAGTGGATCAGCTGTGAGGGGAGATTGTTTGGAGCAAAACTGGAGAGACCTGGGAAGGAATTCTAGACATTTCGGAAAACTATAGGAAGAACAATGCAGGCTAAAAAAGGCAAGTTGAAAAGATGGGGAAAGTGTAGAGGAGGGGAAGGGACATTTGATATGCTCTGATAGTTTTGTGTCAACCCCCTCTCCTCTAAAGCCTTTTTAGGCAATCTTTTTCTTTTTTTTGAGTTGGAGTCTCACTCTGTTACCCAGACTGGAGTGCAGTGGCCGCTCCCGGCCACCGCAGCCTCGACCTGCTGGGCTCCGGCGATCCTTCCGCCTCAGCCTTCCCAGTAGCCGGAACTACAGGTGCACGCTACCACACTCGGCTAATTTTTGATTTATTGTAGAGATGAGATCTCACCAAGTTGCCCAGGTGGGTCTTGAACCCGCAGGCTCAGGCAATTCACTCACCTCAGCCTCCCAAAGCACGGGATTACAGGCTGAGCCACCAAGCCCGGCTGGCAATCTTTTTCTAATTGCCCCCCATGAAATGTTAATGCCACAGATATGTGAAATAACTGTTTATGTACCTACCTACCATATGTATATCTGTGTTTGATAACACAAAGTTAGTAAGATTTTTTTGCTTTCCAAGAACCAATTTTAGCCCCCTTGGGGGTAATACCGCCTCCATGGAGAAAGCACGTGATAGATATTGATAGGCAATAAACAAAACCACAAAAAAAATCAAAAGAATTGCCTTTGGTTGTGTGTGGTGGCTCATACCTGTAATCCCAGCACTTTGGGAGGCAGAGGCGAGAGGAATGCCTGAGCCCAGGGGTTTGAGACCATCCTGGGCAACTTGGCAAGACCTCATCTCTATGATAAATCAAAAAAATTATCCAGGTGTGGTGGTGCATACCTGTAGTTCCAGCTACTTGGAGGGTTGAGGGAGAAGGATCACCTGAGCTCAAGTGGTTAAGGCTGTGGTGGCCGTGACTGTGCCACTGCACTCCAGCCTGGGTGACAGTGAGACTCTGAATAATAATTTTTAAAAATTGCCTTTGAAGGGAAATTGTTTAAAAGTAGAATTATTTTAAACTTATTTGTAAAAAAAAGTGGAATTATTTTCTGAGTTTTCTAGCAGCTGTTTTTCTTTTTTTCAGAGCTGATTCTATACTTGTTTATGACTGAATTCAATCAGGTTGTTCCATTTTAAACTAGAGATGATTGAATCAGACTTCTCGATTCACTGAGAGAAGAAAAGAAAATGGCTTTCAAGGAAATCAGACTGTTCAGATTTTTTTAAATGCCTTCCAGTCCTTAAAGCTGATGAAAATTGACAACTTTTTGAATGCTTAGAGGAAGAAAGGAATCATGTGTCATTAAAATTCTACTTCATGTTTTTACACAGAACATTTAGAGAAATATTTTTCTCTTCAAAATATTTTCAAATCATGTGACTTAAGAGCAGTCTATGATTGATGTTAGTCTGTGACTGATAAGGACATTGAAACCATCTGAAAGGGTAACTGATTAAGGTCTAGGCCTAGTTGTTGCCAGAAAGAAAAAAAAAGGGAATGGGATGGGGGTTTCAAGCAGAAAAACTGGTTGAAGAGCTAGAAGCTGCCGGAAAAAAGAGTGTTCAGAAGGACGTTCCAGATGTTTTCAGAAAGGTTAACAGAAGGTAGTGAGAGCCACAATATGCTACCCCCAAATCTGCCTCTTTGGCAACAAGGGATTGTTGATCGAAAGGCAGTTAAGAAGAAACAGAACCGGCCAGGTGCGGTGGCTCAAGCCTGTAACCCCAGCACTTTGGGAGGCCGAGGAGAGGGGACTGCCTGAGTCCACAGGTTCAAGAAGAGCCCAGGCAACTTGGCAAGACTTCGTCTCTACAATAAATCAAAAAATTAGCCGGGCTTGGTGGTGCATGCCCGTAGTTCCAGCTACTTGGAAGGCTGAAGTGGAAGGATCACCTGAGCCCAGCAGGTTGAGGCCGCGGTGGCCGTGAGCCTGCCACTGCACTGCAGCCTGGGCAGCGGAGTGAGACTCCAACTCAAAAAAAAAAAAAAGAAGAAGAAGCAGAGATGGAAAAGCTCTCTGCCCTCCACTACTTGTCAAAATCGGGACATGCATTTATAAAGACAGCAGGCATTCTACCTACCCTTTTACCAAGGAGGGCAAAGGTCAACCACTGAAGACAACTAGACCGTTACGGGCTTGGGGATCGCTTCAGAGGAAACTACGTTAACAAAATTCACCAACTGCCTTTTTATCCGCCAGTTATTTGTCTTCCCACAATTTGCTTCCCTAAATACTCAAAGTTCTTCCCTCTGTCTTCTCCCTTCTCTAAAAATGTACTATTCTTTGTTGAAGACAGTAAATAAGCTGGAAATCAAAGCTATCTACTCAATCCTTGGGTGTCACCCATGGACATATGAAATATACGTGTTAATAAACTTCTGTTTGTTTTTCTCTTGTTACTCTTCTATTGTTACAGGGATCGATTTCAACTAAGAACTTACGAGAATTTTTAAAAATCATTTTTATTTTCCTACAATTACTACTGAGTAATCTGTCTTGGGTTTCTGGAAAGAATTGAGGCAGAGTATACAAAAACAGAAAAATGGGACATTTTCTCAGACAAATTTTTAGGCAATAGTTGTATCACGGACTCCATTCTAAGTAATAGAACCAGAAGAAAAAATGCTTGGAGAAAAGTGCAGCTTTATTTTGACCACTTAATTTTAAAATTAGATAAGAAAATAGAGAGGGAATGATTTTTATATAACCCAAATCTTCTCAGTTCTAATTATATGATTTATTTGAACAATTTGGGCTTTAATAACACTTAAAGGTTCTATATGCATACACCAGAACCCGATAAATATGTGACATATTTACCACATTCTGTTATCCTTCAAAATTCCAAAATTTCTAAAATGTAATTATTAAAATAAACCTTTTGTGTGTTTTATGTTTTAAAATGTATCAAGTTTAATTAACCAAAGACAAAAGTAGGTCCAGACTATATGCTTAGAAATGGGAAGGAACATTTCGGGGGGTCAGTGCTCTATGTGGTATAATTAACAATCCTGACTATAGTTTCTAGCAAAAAGGCTTACTTAGCAAAGATAAAACCATAAGAAAAAAAATTATATATCTTAGGACTATTTTTTTCTCTCAAGAGTTTTGGGGAAAAGAGCTAAAGGGTTTTTTTGTGTGTTTTTTTTTTTTTAGTTGGAGTCTCACACTGTCGCCCAGACTGGAGTGCAGTGGCCGCTCCCGGCCACCGCAGCCTCGACCTGCTGGGCTCCGGCGATCCTTCCGCCTCAGCCTTCCGAGTAGCCGGAATCACAGGCATGCGCTACCACGCCCGGCTGATTTTTTGATTTATTGGAGAGATGAGGTCTCGCTGCCCAGGCGGGTCTCGAACCCGCGGGCTCAGGCCATCCACTCACCTCAGCCTCCCAAAGGCGCGGGATGACAGACTGAGCCACCGAGCCCGGCATAAGAGCTAAAGTTTTAGATGAAACTTTCTAAGCTGAAACTCACACGGGGCCTCCTCACAGAGGAAGCGGTCACACCCTGTAACCCTGCAGAAATCTGAGAGGATCTTCTGTCCATAAAATGTCTTCCCTAGCAATGCTTGAAGGGAGCGAGTCAACTTGGTTAGAGCTCGGGCCTCTTTCAAAGTGAGAGACGGCAGTAAGAATTCATCCTTTAGACGAATTTCTTCCTGGTCAGAGTGACTCTGGTAATAGGAACCCCAAGGAACTGGGGGGAGGCTCAGGAAAGACAGGAGTGTGGCAGTGCAAGTCTTGAGTTGTGAAGAAGGTGACAGTTTCGCTGAAGCTTTGTAGAGCCAACCATTGCAAGGACTCACACTCCAAGCTGTCGGAAGTACCTGAGAGAGAGTACATGGGAAGGAACCAGGAAAACCTCATTGGAATCAAACAGACCTGTGCACATGAGTGTTGGTAGATCAAGACACCACACTAAGATTCTTTTCTACACCTGTAAGTTGTGAAAACCAAACAACTCTAAACACACAGAGAAACTCTGTGGATACCTCCAGTCACTGGTGGCAAAGACTGCTCTGAGGTGGAGAAAAATCCACGAATATGTTTCTAAAATGTAGTAACATCATTCAGTTGGGCGAGTTTGTGTTTCATTGGGTTCATCATTCATTTCTGGCTTTCCTGGGAGCTTTGTTTTATTCATTTTTTAATTAGAGACCAACTTGCAAAATGTTATTTGTTCCTCCCATAGAGAATTAAATTAATAAAAGATTTAGCGGGAGGTTTCTTTAAATTAAAAAAAGTGATTCGAAGTAATTTTTGGCCGGGCGCGGTGGCTCAAGCCTGTCATCCCAGCCCTTTGGGAGGCTGAGGAGAGTGGATTGCCTAAGCCCAGGGGTTTGAGACCAGCCTGGGCAACTTGGTGAGACCTCATCTCTACAATAAATCAAAAAATTAGACAGGCGTGGTAGCGCGCGCCTGTAGTTCTGGCTACTTGGAAGGCTGAGGTGGAAGGATCACCGGAGCCCAGCGGGTTGACACTGGAATGGCTGTGAGGGTGCCACTGCACAGCAGTGAATGAGAGTCCAACTCAAAAAAAAAATTTTTTTTTTAATAAAATAAAAGTAATTTTCAGCTTCTTCATCTGAAGACACAAGGGTAGGGAGAGGCCAGTCATTGAAACTGGGACCCCCCAGCGTCAGCAGGGTCAGAAGCTGGGAGAAGGTGAGTTCATCTGGATTCAGACCAAGTTCTATGGTAGGAGTTACAGGACTAAAGGAACAGCGCCATTTCCACCTGGTGACCTGTTGCTTGTCCGCTCTGGGGTCTCGTTCCCAACTTGCAAAACCCTTGAGAAATGAGCTCATGCAAACACATGAATAAAGTCAGACTGAGTGTCCAAGATATGATTGCTAATCATTGCTGACAAAACAGAGAATCTTTTCTGAGAGCGATTTGCTTTTTTGAGCCAGAGGAATCTTTTGCCTATTTTGACTTTTGGGGAGATGCGAGCAGAAATGAGGGGAGGATTTTAAGTAACAAAAGCACACTACACACTAAAGATGGGTATTTATCATGTGAGTGGGTTTGTGAAGAGCTTCTATGTAAGTTTATTATTTCGGATAAATATCACAGTATTTGCTAGACTCATTTCTAAGCCAAGATCCCAGTTTCTCGCTTTTAATGAACTGGATGTCAGTGCATTTTGATCACTCTAATTTCCTGTTTTTGCAGAAATTTCAGGTATCGTGTTTGTTTTAAAAATCAGCACGTAGCCAGGCTCGGTGGCTCAGCCTGTAATCCCGCGCTTTGGGAGGCTGAGGTGAGTGGATTGCCTGAGCCTGCGGATTCGAGACCCGCCTGGGCAACTTGGCGAGACCTCATCTCTACAATAAATCGAAAAAAATTAGCCGGGCGTGGTAGCGCGTGCCTGTAGTTTCAGTTACTTGGAAGGTGGAGGCAGAAGGATCACCGGAGCCCAGCAGGTCAAGGCTGCAGTGGCCAGGAGCAGTCACTGCACTCCAGTCTCGGTGACAGAGTGAGACTCCAACTCAACAAAAAATAAAAATAAAAATCAGCATGTGCAGTACATCTCTAAGATACTAACTCAATTTAGTTGCCAGAGTTTGACTCATCTCTCTCTTAAAATTGACCCAGAGTCCTAGCCTGTGCTGAAAGTCATGATTGCAGGGGGTGAGGTAGGCCTTCAAGGTATGAGAAGCCCCTGAGAGTTGATGATGGGCTTCTCCTGCCAGTTCCATGAAGCGTGATGTCACATTGGTTGTTTAAGCTTGGTCACGTGGAGAGTATCTATACCACAGAAATGGGGAAACTCTACAAATCACAGCCTTCCCAACCCCCAGCAGGTCGTGAAATATCTACCCCAGCACACCACGAGTGTGTAAGTAATTCTCCCTAAAAGGGAAGACATGACAAGCACGGATTCCACCAAACTGTGGAAAACTCAGTCGGCAGCCCTGGAGCAGCTGTGGCTATACCAGGTGCAAAAAGAACACAAGAAACTCATCTTTCACTTTCATTAAGACGCAAATGAATAACGTTATTCCCCAGACGCCTGGCTGTCTTCCGGGAATCTGCTCAGTCAAAGAGCAGAAGAGGACATGGAAGAAATGCAACCTGCTGCATAAGTCCCAGAAGCTGAACAACCCCACACGGAAGGGCTGGGTGCAAGACCAATGCTTAAAAGAAAGTGTCAAGTCCAAGTTTCTCTACAGGCTCCCCCATACCTCCACTGCTACACTCTAACCTCCTTCCTAAGGGATTCCCTTCTGGGTATTCGTAGCCTACCACGATCATGATGGGAAGCATGGCCCTTGCGGTCACCCCGAAATGGCTCATGAATTGTGACTCATTCTCCAGTCACGCCGCAGGTCTCTAAGAGGTTGGAGGAACACCTGGACATGATGCTTGTACCCTTTCCTACAGGAGCTAGCCCACACTTTTTGTGTTGAGTCCATTTCCACTGCAGACCAACCCCTGTTGGCTTACCTTTGGCTTCCTGGTGACTGGAGAGCTGTTTGAGAACTAGAAGAAAACACAGAAGAGAGAGCTTCAGTCTCAATACCCATTCTGAACTGGGAGAGGTTGGTGGCTTTCACTTGAAACTGAGAAGCTAGGGGTTACCTTCAGCCGTGAGGTTAAATTCAGCAGACACTTTTCCATAACTGTTCTTGATACAGCAAAAATATAGGCCCTGGTCCTTCTGGCTAGCTTGAACGATGGCGAAAGAGACAGTGGAGTTGTCCCCTGCACTGTAAGGGGGAACACAAACATTTACACACTTCATCGTTCTGAAGTTGCATTTTTTTTTTTTTTAAGTTGGAGCTCACTCCGTTGCCCAGACTGGAGGGCAGTGGTACACTCGCGGCCACCCCAGCGCCGACCTGCTGGGCTCAGGCGATCCTTCTGCCTCAGCCTTCCAAGTAGCCAGAACTACAGGCACGTGCTACCACACCCGGCCAATTTTTTTATGTATTGTAGAGACGAGGTCTCATCAAGTTGCCTGGACTGGTCTCAAACCTGTGGCCCCAGGCAATCCACTCTCCTCAGCCTCCCAAAGTGCTGGGATGACAGGCTAAGCCACCGAACCAGCCGCATTTTTTTCCTAATATCCTTAAGGAGGGAGAAGCTAAGGTTTCCCTGCCCTCGTGTTTTCAGCCAATGAGCAAGCTAAAGGTCAAGATCATGATCAGCTGCTTTTTGTTTATCCATAGGGGAGGATCATGACACTTTGGCTAACACCCTCACTCTGATATGCGATATGAACACACAGAAACATTTGGGAGGTTCAACGGCCCTGAATAAAGCAAGTAACTGGAATTGCGAATTCTGGAAGCTGTTAACATTTTTGCTCAGAATTCACCTCGATTATATTACTAATCCAGGTGTCCTGTGCTGGAAGGAAATCTGATAACCCCAAACCCAAACCTGTACACTGAAAATAAGGGACAAGAGAAAGGCATGATTTGCCTATGCTATATAAGGATTCGTGGCAGGGCTCTTTTAAGTAGTGTACTGTGGTCCCCCCGTGAATCCATCCACCTATCCATTCACCTACCCCAATACGATTAAGTTCCGGGCGGGCAACCCCCTCGGGTCCCTTCCCACTGTGGGAGCTTTTCTGTCCTCTCAATAATTCCTGTATTAAAAAAAAAGTTCTAGGCACTGTGCTAGGATAACAAAAGCTGGTGGTGGTGACAATGATAGATAGATAATAGATAGATAGAGATAGATGATAGATGATAGCTAGCTAGATGATAGCTAGATAGATAGATAGATAGATAGATAGACAGATAGATAGATAAAATGTGTATTGAGCACTTGTTATGTACCAGACATTGTGCTGAATCACTTAAAAGTCTATTTCATGCTGTTCCCAGAACAATCTAATGAGAGAAGAAAGATTACTATTCCCAGCTCACAGATAAGCAACTGAGGCATAGAGAGATTTCAGCAAATGATTCTGGCCTCATTCAGCTGTCTCCCCAAGCACATTATGACTCCTGCTCTCAGGTCTGGGATCATTTGAATTATAGTCAGAGCTACAATCTCTATTCCAAAGTCTTAAACAAAAAACTTATTTTGCATCCCAAAATGATATTCAAATACTGTTTTAGTTTTGTTCATTAAAATGAGTTTTGTTCAAACGCTCACCAAGATTGTGTATATGCGTGCTCGCCTGTTCAGTGTATGTTCTGGTTCACTTTATAGTTTAACAACAGACATCCACTTATCTTGAGTTTGTCTCAGCTGCACATTTTTTAAAAAGTGTTCATTATTGGTTGGTTTTTCAATAGATTTCAAGTCTCCGGTGTACAGGGTCTCTACAGGAATGTTCAAGTGACTTAAAGGAAGGTTACTAAATCATAACACTTTCTCCATATTGATGGGGCCTCTGAACATACCCTGAATGAATGGTTAAAGCTGGACATGAACAAGTTCAGTTCTAAGAGGGAGATTTCCTTGCGGGGGGCAGTAAAACACAGTCATAGAAGGGTTGGGGTGTCCTTCTCCAGGGCTCTGTGACTAAGCCTCTCTATCATTGAAGGCGGCAGTCAAGACCCACCTGAAAGGCTGGGGCTGACCTAGAAGAACTGTCCCATGAACATCTTCCTTCCAGGCTAGAAATTCTCTGATACTTGGCCCAGAACCATGAAGACCTTTTACTATCTTGGCCCATTCTCCCCACTCAAGGGTTTCTTCTGGAAGGGACACATAGGAATCAGAAAGACCCGGGTTCCAATCCTGAGGCTGACCTCAGGTTGTGTTACTCAGACACTCGCTCTCAGCTTCCTCCTCTGTGAAATCAGAACATGCCAGATCTCCTCTTAAATGTGTCATGAGGAGTAGCTGACACCAAGCATGGAAAGTTGTAGCAAAAAGCTTTGTCTGGAGAGTGGTCATGAGCTCTTAGTGTGGGAAGCAGTCGTATTTGTGGGCTTTCTCCGTGAAAGACAACTCCCATGTTAAGTCCCAAAGAGTTTCATTCACCAACATATGTTGAGTATATGCTGTGTGCTTAGTGCCGGGGAATTTAATGACCAAAAAAAAAAGGCACAGTCTTTGTCCTGAAGGGTCTTCTGGTCTGGGAGGAGATGGACAAAAAAAAAAAAATAACAGTATAACTCTGGAAAGTGAAGTGATCTTGCAGCTTTTGACACCAAGAGAGAAAAGCTCAGTTTCACATCCTGTTACCCTGTAAGGGACAAATCTTTCTCCCCTGGGTGAAGAAAGGGTGGAAGCGCAAACAAAGCTGAACAGTGGTGGCAATTAGCTATGGAAATAAATGCATGTGTCCAGCGTGGCCAGAAGAGCACTGCCAAGAAAGAACTTGGTACAGGGAGAGTGTACCTAATGCAGGCACTTCTCTGAGAGACCCTATCATCCATCACGAGCCTTAAGGAGTCAGGAAATGGTGGCAGCACCCACCACACACCGTCCAGGCTGGACTAAGAGGCCCTCAGGTCATCCCTCCGTGGCCATGCAATGACAGTCTGCCGTCCACAGCAGCCAGATCGTCTCTCCGTGGTTTCCAGCAGGAACGGTGTGACCTGCGCTCTACGACCTTGCTCAACTTTCGGTAGAGCCACTCCCTGCAGACGACTGCCCTCTCAAAAGCCTGGGAACTCAGAAGGCTCTCTCTCCCCAGAGTGGAGAGTGGGTCCTGGTCACCAAGAAGGCCAAATAGCCCTGGAGGGTGCCACCTTGTGCCCTCCATGGCACCAAGATGTGTCGCTGCTACACAGACGCTTAGAACAAGTTACTGCTTTCTTTTTGGTTTCCTTGACGTCTACCAGTCTTGCCCTAGCTACAAAAAAAAGTCTGACACCTGGTTTCTAAACTTTAGCCTGTTAAGGAAAGTGCCCAGAACTTAGGGACAAAGGCAACAGGATGATTGCATGTCATGGACCAACAGGCTCACTCAAGGGTGACCTGGTTAGTTAGAGGAGAATGCCCTATTTCTCCTTCCAAAAGAACCACGATTTTAAGTTGCATGTTAACTTGTAGGTTTCTGTTCATAGAAAAGATAACCTCGAAAGTTTACTAACCTATTGGACATTAACCAGTTTTATAGCTATGTGAAAATTTATTTCTGCATTCCTTTGCCTGATTGACTCTCTAAATCTTCATTTCTCAAATGCTTCTTTGAACAGTTTCGCCATATTACTGGTTCCTTCGTTATTTCAGAAGTTCAAGAAGATTTTTGCTACACGTTCATGCGATCTTTGAGAGCATTCAACTCACTGACCGTGATATCTTGATAAGGCAGTGAGACATTTCACAGAGGGACACATAAAAGAAATCACCCAGCTGGAAGCAGGGATGAAATTAGCTAATGTTTGAAAACCCACCTGAAATAATGTAAATGATCTCTCCATAAACAAAGGAGGTATGACTTCCAAAACTCTTGAGTACTAGCATGGAGAAAACAAATGGCTTGAACTAAGCAGACACTGTGGCCAAGAAGGAATGAAATAAACATCACTACGAATTGAAAGGCCTCAGCCACACATCATTAGTAAATAGAACGCTTACTAGTGACATATTCTCCCCAGAGGAAGGTTGGGTTTTTTATAAATAACCTTGGCTGGAAAAGGGCCCCCACAGGATTCAAGCCAATTCTTGCTTAGAGCGAGGCTGATTAATTGGAAAATGCTGAAAATGTGGGTAATTGTTCTTGGCTGACAGCTTCAGAAAATGATTTAAAATGAATAATTAGTACTTTTTTTGTATGAAACTCTCAGGAGCCTCCTTGATTTAAAAATCAAACCATTTCTTTCACGTTATATTTCTTCTTGAGCCATACCTAAGACAAGCAAAGCAATGGTGACATTTTAGGCAAAGTGGTTATTACATCAATCATGAACCAGTTCGATTCTCTAGAGTGATGTTAAGAGAAATGAAACTATAGCTCGACTATTCCATAGTTGCATTTGGGACATAATTTCCAGATGTATGCCCCCAAGCCAACATTCTTGATTTAATTAAACAGCACAGACTGTCTCACTTTTTCAGTCTATTTGTGATAAAATTAAGGGGCTTAGGACTCAGGTTGCTAGATTGGGAACATCATGGACAGAAAGCAGCTTTTGAGAGTCAAGTTGTGCTGGTTTCCATCGAACCAGGTGATGTGTTTCTAGACTGTGTCAGATGACGCTTGAATTCATCACTTCACTTGAACGAGCACTTTTTTGCCAAGAAGGTGCTTTAGGAAACCATATATGAGGTTCATTCCAAACAGGGTATTCTTGGCAGTATTCTCACTTTCAGCTCTCCTCCTCATTCTCCTCTCCTTTGATGTCCTAGGGACCCAGAAATAAACGTGTTTTCCCATCTTAGAGATGACTGCCTGTCACTTCAGTAGCAGTTGCTTTTCTATAATCTCTGTCAGACTAATGAAAATTTATGAAACAGAATGCATAAGCAAGTAAAATTCACAGACATACAGACGAGAGCTCTTTACTATTAGGGACACAGAAACTCAGACTAGATTATTTGACATGTTTCCCTGAATTTAAAAACATAATGAGGCTGGACTCGGTGGCTCAGCCTGTCATCCCAGCATGTTGGGAGGCCGAGGCGAGTGGATGGCCTGAGGCCGTGGGTTCGAGACCAGCCCGGGCAACTTGGCAAGACCTCGTCTCTACAATAAATCAAAAAATGAGCCAGGCGTGGTAGCGTGCGCCTGTAATTTTGGCTACTTGGAAGGTTGAGGGGGAAGGATCGCCGGAGCCCAGCCGGTCGACGCTGGGGTGGCCTTGAGCATGCCATGTCACTCCAGCCTGGGTGACAGAATGAGACTCCAACTAAAAAAATAAAACAGAAATAAAATAAATAAGTAAAACATAATGAAAGGTTCTGCGATTTCCTGAGACCATAGAACTCAGTGGTGGCAGAGCTAGGTCAAGGACCCTCCAACAGATTACCTGTCCAGACATCCGTCTTCCACTACTTACTCTTCCTGGATACTGTGGGTATGGACTTTCGCTACAATTTTCCTTTTCACTAGCTATAACTTATTATTTTCGGCCACAATTATGCTGTCAAGTAAATGACCAACAACAATGGAAAGTAACCAGGTGCAAGTATCGCACCTTCTCCGCACTTGGGCTATTGACTTTGAATCTTTTGTCCACCAGATAGTAGAATCTTCATGAATTTCTGCAAACTGGCAGCTTAATTTCACATTTCCAGAGTGGTCAGGGAACATCTCAGCTTGGATCTTTTTCAGTAATACTGGAGCTAGAAGCAAGAGATTTGAAGGTCAGTGTAGGCACAAGATTTTCTCATTTCATATTATTCAATTCTCATAGCAATCCTGAGAGACAGAATTAATAGTTATTATTCCCAAGTATGGATGAGAAAATGAGTACCTGAGGGGCTGTAGCTGGCCTAAACAGTAGGAAAATGATCAAATCAGTCTAATAGGAAACTCTCGAATCCAAGTCCTTGGATGAGGTCTGCAGTGCTTAAAGGGAGAAAGACCTTGAGAGATTTTTCATCTTTTTGGTGTATTGGTTTTAAGTTTTTGTAGAGACGAGGTCTCCTCTGTTGCCCAAACTGATCACAAACTCCTAACCTCCAGCGATTCTCCTGCCTCAGCCTCCCAAAGTGCTGGAATGACAGGCATGAGCCACTTTGCCCAGCCTCTTGAGAGATTTTTTTTTAATGGCTGAGGGGTGGGAGGATTGTAGATCATCTAGTCCATAGGACCTCAGCCTAATAAAGAGCTTCTAATGAGTTACCAGATGAGCCAGTTCAAAATTAAGGAGTAGAATAAAATCTGGATTATCCAGAAAATTATGACTAAGCCCCCAAAATGGAAAAAAACAACTCAACAGTAATTTGCTTTATAATGTGTATCTACCTTTTCCCCTTGACCTAAGTTGTCTGCTGAAGATAGTCTAGTGGACTGGAGGGATGTCTAACATCACTCTCATTAGCCAAAGAGAAGGAAATAACAACAATAAGGAAACGATTTCACCGATTGGTCTTTGAATATCACCTCTTATTTTGATCCGTGATGAGAACTCGGCAGGCTGGTGAATGGGTAACTAGTCAGGGCAGCCACTGGGCGGCAGCACAGACGGTGGAACAAAACGGGGAAGGCGGACCCAAGCCAGAGAATCAGAACCAGGTCAGCCGCAAGATTGCTGGAAATGCAGGTGTGCATCTATCATAAAGCAACACCATCACTTCACAGCTTTGGTAACATAGAAAAGCACATCGTGACAAAACATTCTATCCTCCACAGCCAGGCCACAAGTCATTCAATACCGAGGTTGTGTTTGCTCATTGCCTCCGATTCCACTTCGGTGAAATGTGGTCCACGTGTTAAGTGACCTCCCCATCTCTCCTCAGTGCCAGCAAAAACTTGGATAACAGAACACATATATGCAAAAGCGAGCTCTCTGCTCAGAAAGTGATAACGGGCTGGTTGGGTAACAAATCTTTCAACCAGAGAGTAGCTGAGACTGCTCACAGTATCCTAGGAGCCAAGCGAGAAATGGCAAGAGAGAAAATATGCCAAGTACCCTTTGATGGCAAAACCCATGTCAGAGCACCTGGGCCTACCAGTTCCTGCCCAAGCTGAGACCATGTTCACGTGCACGGTCTCACACTCTTGGTCCTGGTCTGGGCCAAGCCCTTCCCTTCCTCGGGCCATCTCCTGAGGATCCTTCCAACACAAGCGGTGGCGGTCTTCATGGGTGTCTTGGGCACCCAAACGCTCCTAAGGCTGCCATAGCTTGTAGTAAGTATTAAACACAAGAAAGACTGGGGGATGGAGGGAAGGGTAGAGGAACTGAGTGATGGTCTTCCGGAGACGTGAAGCTGGTCAGATGAGGGGCCTTGGGCCTGTGGAAGGGATCCCTGTGTGTGGGAAATGGAGGTGGAAATGCAAGGGCTCAGAGGAGACCCGGAGTGCAGCTGGGTGTGTCTTCTGTGTGCATGGCAGCCAAGTGTGAGGGAAAAGGTAGTGAAGGCCCCTGGTGAATGTGAAGCTTTGAATGTCAAAAAATGTTACTCAGGCCAGGCACAGTGGCTCATGCCTATAACCCCAGCACTTTGGGAGGCTGAGAGGGGAGGATTGCTTGAGGCCAGGAGTTCGAGACCAGCCTGAGCCACATAGCAAGACCTCGTCTCTACAAAAAGTTTAAAAAAAAAATTAATTAGCCAGGTGTGGTGGCACATGCCTGTAGTTTCAGCTACTCAAGAGGCTCTGGTGGGAGGATCACTTGAGCCCAGGAGTTCGAGGCTGCAGTGAACTCTGACGACACCATTGTACTCCAGCCTGGATGACAGAGTGAGACCCTGTCTCAATCAATCCATCAATCAATATGACGGCTTAGTGTTTGTTTTCTTTCTTTCAGAATTATCTAAGTCACCACCTTTCCCCATACTTCTAACTCCTTACATCTGTACTCCTTTGGGGGTGCCAGGTTGAGTGCCAGGCTGATGGGTAGACAGGGTCAAGGTGTCACCCAAGGGGTCTGAAACATACTAGCCTGAAGCAGTGACGAGAACTCATGGTCTCATGCAAGCCAACACCACAAGAAGGAATGAGAACTTCCTAGTCTGGTGTCTTTCTTATGGCAACATTTATCTTTTTTTTTTTTAAATAATAAAATTGCTGTGGTTTACACTGGAAAAACAAAACCAGAAACCTTTGAGTGCTTGCTGGTGGAATAGACTCTTAATGGAACTGGTACACAGATAGAAACCCATAATGAACAATTAGAAGGTGCTTAGTTAAAGGGAAAACACAGGCTGTTATCAAGGGCAGGCCCTCTGAACTCAGCAATCCCAAAACATAAGTGCTGGAACGGCATTTTTTCTGTCTCTCCTCATCATCGTGTTGATTTATATGGATTAGTACACACAGCAGATTCTTATTAAAAACTTAGTGCATTCATGATCAGTAGTAGTTGGGGTCACCCTGGAAAATAGCATGCCCTTAATACATTCATGAATATGTTGGTCAGGCAGTTATCTCCCAAGTCCGGTCGATGGCTCTTTCAGGGGAATGACCTAGTACTGGTTTATACTTAAAACAGGGAGCTGTGATCCTAAAAATGTAGGTGCCAGTGTTCCGGGCAACTGTTTTTCTATTTTTCCCTGGAAAGGAAAACCTCACACAACAGGAGAGAGGCTGCCCTGAGTGTCAATTCCTCCAAAGCTAGGAAAGATCGACCCAGGGGTGAGCAAAACCCATCTTGGACTCCTAGTTAACTGCTGACTCAAGAGTAACCCAGGTGAGTGTCCCCGGCCTGTTCCCTCACCAGATGACCACCCCCTACCTTCCAGGCCCTGAGTTCTTCAGAGAGGACAGGCCATGTATATAAGTACCACCCTTTTGTCAAAGACTAGGTTGGTATCAACTCGGACACAATGACCTTGTGTCTAACAACTATGAGGGCTTGTGCGAGGCCAAGCGCCATTCAGATTACTTTCTTTTTTCATACCTGAGGTGAGGCCTATTATCAGCACCCCCGTTTTACAGGTAGGGAAAGTGAAGCGCCCAGAGACTAAAGCATTTGTCCAAAGTTACCTGGTTACAGCAGAGGCCAGGCTTGAACCCAAGTAATCTGACTGCTGATCTTCACTCTAAACCACCATGTTACAGCTCCCTCCTATCCAGGCCCAAACACCTATGAGCATTCCCAACTCTGAATATTTCCCTCTTATTGGTCTCCTTGTCCTGGGTGACACTGGTAACAGTCCTTCACTGGTCTGGCCTGGAAAAGTCTTTGGTTGTCTTCACACTATATGCAGCCAGCTGCCCTAGAAAATACCTGCCACACTCACACCAGCTCCTCCCAGAATGCTATGTGCTGTCTTTGCAGCCTCTTGTACTCTGGGAAGGTCATTCTTGCAACTGAAACCAGACTCTTCAATGGCGACGGCTATCGGACAGTCCTTCTTCCCACATGTGACTCGAATAGTCATGACAAGAATTCCACATAGATTAGAATGTTGATCTTTCCCTGCAAAGGAAATTCCCACACAAGAGGGGCAAGGCGGGTCCCCAGTGGAATCTGTTCAGCCTCTTGGGTGAAACCACTTTCAAAATCTTTTAAAACATTGCTTCACTGTCTCTAAATATGTCTAAAAACATATATGCCAATAACCAGGTTGGATTCCCCAAATTCTTCAGAGGCAGTTTTGTTTTTCATCCTCTCTGCAACAGGGGCTGGGAATCCATTGGATGTGGGTTGAGAATGGCAAACACCAGCCTCAAAATCTGGTTCAGAGGACTCAGGCTTAGAGAGGAGACAGTTCCTCCCTTCAGATCAAACAGGGCCGTAGCTCTCTGCTCCAGCACACACAGGCTACTGTTGCTTGCCACCATATTTTCTCTTCTGACTCTTACCAGGGTGCAAGAAAAGGAAAGAAGAGCTCTGAAATAAAACAGGACTGGGCACGGTGGCTCATGCCTGTAATCTCAGCACTTTGGGAGGCCAAGGTGGGAGGATTGCTTGAGCCCAGGAGTTTGGGCCTAGGCAACATAGAGAGACCTGGTCTCTACCAAAAAAATCAAAAATTTGGCCAGGCATGGGAGCATGTGCTTGTAGTCCCAGCTACTTGGGAGGCTGAGGTGGAAGGATCGCTTGAGCTCAGGAAGTCGAAGCTATAGTGAGCTGTGATCCTGCCACTGCTCTCCGTCCTTGGTGACAGAGTGAGACCCCAACAAAAGAAAAAGAAGGAAAGAAGGAAAAGAAAGAAAGAGAGAGAGAGAGAAAGAGACAGAAAGAGAGAGAGAGAAAGAAAGAAAGAAAGAAAGAAAGAAAGAAAGAAAGAAAGAAAGAAAGAAAGAAAGAAAGAAAGAAAGGCTAAAACTCAGGCAATGGAATTTGAAATGATTCCATAAGCAAAGTGTAAGTCACTGCAATTACAAAGGCTTTTTTTTTTGAGTTGGAGTTTCACTCCATGGCTCCAACTGGAGTACAGTGGCACGCTCCTGGCCATTGAAGCCTCAAACTGCTGGACTCTGGCGATCCTTCCGCCTCAGCCTTCGAAGTAGCCAGAACTACAGGCGTGAGCTACCACACCCGGCCAATTTTTTTATTTATTGTAGAGATGAGGTCTCACCAAGTTGCCTGGACTGGTCTCGAACCTGTGGGCTCAGGCAATCCACTCACCTCAGCCTCCCAAAGCTCTGGGATTACAGGCTGAGCCACCGAGCCCAGTGTACAAGGGCTTTTAAGGCTCACGTGGTCTGAAACCTGTAACAGAGACCTCAGGGGACTTGAGAGTCAGATAAATGAAAAGGGTGAGTTGGAAAGAAATTTTGTATTCAAATTTGGAAGAAAAACCAAGGTTCAACAAAGCCTTCATTATGAAAAACCAACAATTAAAGAGAAGAACCCCAAATTGGACCAAAATATTTATTTCTGTAAATCCCGCTTAGTGTGTGGTCTATTTAATTATACTAATTAGCTACACTGATGAATGCTTCTGTTTATCTTTTTAAATAGCTTTTTTAAAAGAGGATAATTGAGCAGAACGGCATCTTAATCACATTCCTTCAATCGAGCATACCTACAGGCAGCCTTTTTCAGTGGTTCTCATGTGTGGTTCCCCCCCCTAGGTCATCTGGGAACTTGCTAGAAAGGCAGTCCTTGAGCCTCACCCCCCACCCACTGAATCAGAAACCCCGAGGGGCAACATTTTCGTTTTAACAAGCCCCTCGGGTGATCCTGATGCGGCGTGCTCAAGCCATGTGGCGGCAATCAAAACATCCGTGCCCACCTGGGGAATGCTCACCTTGATGGCCAAGGACTCCAGAGAACGCAGGAACTTGATACCCGGTCCACAAACCCAGACTTTCACGATGTTAGAAAGCAACAGAGCCTCACCTTTTCCTTCTCTTCTGCAAGGTGGCTTTTGGGGGTCTTTTTTCTCATCTGTGCGTGATAACGATGTTTCAAGCTTAGGCACCTTTTTCAGAAAGCTGGAGTTCTTTCGGACATTTTCCTTCTCTTCCAATTTCAGCCTCAGGGCTGCCACCCTGGATAGGATTTTCTTCTTTACGCCCTCGGCTAAATGTCCACTTCCTGAGTCTTCCTGCTTCTTCTTGACCTCCTCGGACCCCGTCCCTGCCGGTGGGGCCCTTGGTACTTGACCAGTTGGGGCCACCTTGTGGCGAGGCTTCCCCATCGCCCTCGACTCTCTCACACAGCTCAGGGTGCCCTTTGGACATGGGCCCCGCAGTAGCTCAGGGGCTTTCTCTGACTCACCTTCTCCTGAAATGAATGCCAGAGGCTTTGCTGGGGTGCCAGTGGAGCTTGGGGGTTTGGTTTGCCCCGTCTGAAGCTCTCCTTTCCTAGGTTCCTCAATTTTGTGACTGATGGAAAAGTTCAAGAGGTTTCCATCGAGAATCAAAGGACAAGGCTGCCTCGTAAGACCATGAGAAGGGGGCGTGTGTTTCCCACACTCATTTTCAAGAGTTCCCCTTTCCTTTAAGTGAGGAAACACATGCTGGTTTCTGGGTTCAGCTAAGTCATTTCCAGGGACGTCATGAATTTGGCCTGGGGAGCTGTGAGTATGAACCCCAAGAGAAGCGTGAGTCATTCTTGCAAGACAGCTAGAAAGAGGAGAAGTGGGGGAAATAACTTCTGCCTTGTCCTTTTTGCTTTTCCCGGCCTCCTCTAAGCTGCCGTCACTGCCTTCCTGTGTTTGGCCGGTGCTGCCTCCACCTGGAATTCTCTCCCCACCTTTGTCAGGATGTGGGGCTTGCCAGATGGCAGACTGGACTTCCACCGTCGTTTCATCACGTAGACTTTGCTTGGCCTCTCCTCTCTCACCGCCTTCTCGGCTTCTGTCATTTCTCTTCCCACCTGGAAGGGTTCCTGCACTTTCCCGGGGACACAGAACTTGCAAAATGGCAGGTTGGACTTCCGTTCTCAGGCCCAAGTCTCCATCACACAATTTACTCCCTTCTCCGATGCCCCCCAGCGTGGACTCAGAAGGCTCCAGCTTTACAGCCAGTGTGAACTCCATCACACCCGTTTCATCAGCAGGATCCACAGAGGACTCTAGGATTTGGGGGCAGGACAGAAACCGTCTAAAGAAGGGGGTGTGGTCCGCTGCGCGTTGGCTTCCCTCCTGGCTTTGAGTGACATTGTTGACATCTCCTGTCCCTCTGGCAGCAGAAGCCCCTGTTGGCGAATCTGCAGCGCATAACTCCTGTTCATCGACGGGATCCACAGATGACTCCAGGACCCTGGGTTGGCTCAAATCCTGGGGAGAAAGTGCCCTGCAATGTGCACTGATGGTCGGTCCTTCACCTTTGCAGGTTTCTCGTTTGGCATCAAGAGCTGAGTCAACACCCAGAGGACTGTGAGTTAGTTCTGCTGTTTCAGAGGGGACCATTTCGGGCATGGTAACTTCCGTTTCTAGAATGTCAGATACAGCCCAGACCCTGCCAGGAATGATGGAGCCGGCTTCTGCATCCTTGCACTGAGAACTTGTCGGTTGCCTCGGTGACCGCACTTCTGAAACGGAAGCCTCTACCGTTCGAACCAGCTTGTTGCCTGCTTCCCAATTCCCTGGTCCACACTCCTTGGACCTCTCCAGAAAGACACTAGAGAGAGATGGAACATTGCTCAGAGCCTGACTGTCATCTTCCACAGTGGCTTCAGTCACCACCAAGACACTGGTCCCCTGACCTGAGTCCTTTCCTCCTTCTACCCTGGAACTTGCTGGTGAGTGGCCCTGGGGCACCAGGTGTCTCTCCTCTTGTGCAGCAGATATCATGGGCAAACTTTCAGGGGAATTACCGGCGGAAAGAAAACCCTGGACGGACACACACTGCTGCTGGATCCAATGCTTTGTTGCACTTCTTTTTTCCTGAAAATTGTCCTCAGGGCTCTTGGTGTCTGTTCTGTCCACGGCCTGGCTCTTATCTCCAGACTGGTTGTCAATCTGAAGGGAGGAATTGCTGCAGAGACCCTCTCCCTCTGGGAGCTGGGGAACGTGGCCGTGGACTCCCAGGACACTGGGAGCCGTGCAAAGTAGCTCTTTTGGAGATTCGGTTGTGGAGTCATTTAAAATATGACACAGTTGTACACTGGAAGGAAATTGAGAAATATCTTCCTCTGGTGTCTGAGGTAAGCTCTCCTCAGTGCCTTCTGCAGGCTTGTTCTCAGCAACGGAAACAGCAAGATATTGGGTTGGGCAGACTTTGGTGGCAACGCTAACAACTGACATACCCTCAGTCTCCCTGGTCACCAGAAGACACTCGTTATTAGCAATTAGTGTTGTTGACTTCTCCCGAAGAAACGTACCAGTGGAACTCAGTCTGGCTGGTGTGTCTGTGGTGTCTGGGGCACTGGTCTTGGGGCTCTTGTCACCTTCCGTCATTTGCACAAAAGAGGTGTTCTCGGAAGAGAGGAGATGTGTTTTCTCAAGGCCTCCCAAGTTTCTGGGGCTCAGTCCCCCCTGGCCAGCCTGTGCTGTGGAGGCCAACGGGCAGCTGGGATTCTCCACCTTGGCTAGACAGCCCCCTGTGGCACCTTCATTGGCCTTGGGTGAGATGCTCCAGGTAAAAGTACTGATGAAGAGTGGGGCTGAGGTCCGGTCGTACTCTTTGCTGCTTTCGCAAGTTGTCAGTGGAGTCTCGGAACCTCGTGTTTGAAAGAAAACTTGCAGTGTCTTGCCGTCAGGAGCACATAAATCCGATATTTTGCTTTGACCTTCTGCCATCTCAGAGTCCACGGAGCAAACGTCTTGAGGCACATATATATCCACTGGTGCCCTAACAGGAGAATCCGCGGTATCACATGTTTCTTGGTCACCGGCTTCAAAACACTCAGTCATCCACGCTGCTTCTCCATCCCTTGCCCCATCACCCACATTTGCCAGGGTGAAGGCAGTGTCTGTGGGGTCAGGTGAAGCAACAGAGAGAGCCCCGGGTTCCCTGTAATCCACGTGGGCATCCTGGGGGAGATGCCCTGAGAATGCACCCAGGGACATAGTTTCAGCCTTGGCTCCTGGGATGCTCGGCTCATGTGTTAGTTCTTCCCTGAAGTCACCAGGTGTGTTGCCTTCTCTGTCTTGCTTTTCCTTATGCTGTGGGTCTCGAGCACAGCTTTCCACTGCCAGGCATGGAGTCAATGATGCATTTCTCTTGTGGGCCCCTCCTGAGTTGGGGAAATAATTTATTGTGGTCCCAGTGAACAGATACTCCTCCTTGGTAGGCTCTGAGAAAGCTGTAATCTGGCCGACAGAGATTCTCTCCCCGAGCGCTTCCTGAATTTGCACCTGGGAAGATGAAAAGTGATATTAATGGAATTGTTCCTGGGAGAGCCCACAATAGGGCAGTACTGAAATCTCAAGAATGTTAATCCTCGACAACTGTAATAATAGACAAGAAAAGTAGTGGGAATGACTGAAATCTAAGCATTAATCCCCAAACGCTCTCCAGCTATTAAAGACTTCCTGGAAAACTGCAAATTTAAGCAACTCCAGGTACCAGAGAGCCCTTGATCAAATTCACCATTATAGGCAAAAGCCTCCTGACAATCATCATTTATTTAATGGTTTTCTTTTCTCTCTCTCTCTCTGAAAAAGATGAAAATAAACTGAATATTAACAATTTTTATCAAGTAAGTCACAACAAGAGCTGTATGCATCTTTCCAAAAAGATGAATTTCATATGATCGTAACAAATGAAATATGCAGTAGCAAAATGAGCAATATGACAGCTTGCTGATTAATAATTGCTGTGGTATGGATGTTTGTCCCCACCCAGCTGCATGTTGAAACGGGATCCCTAAGCTGGAGGTGGGGTTTTTGGGTCATGGGAGTAGATCCATCATGAAGAGATTGATGCCCTCCCTCGGGGCTGACAGAGTTCTCACTCTGTTAGTTCCCATGAAAGCTGGTTGTTAAGAAGAACCAGACACCTCCCCAACCCCACTTCCTCTCTCACCATGTGGTCTCTGCACACACCAGCTCTCTGAACCACACATGGAGGCAGCTTAAGGCCCTCACAAGATGCAGATGTCCAATCTTGAACTTCCCAGTCACCAGAATGATAAGCCAATAACCCCTCTTTTCTTGATAAAAATGCAGTCTTAGGCGTTCTGTAACAGCAACACTGAACGGATTAAGACAATAATGTCAGCCGGGCTCAGTGGTTCAGCCTGCAATCCCGCGCCTTTGGGAGACCGAGGTGAGTGGTTTGCCTGAGCCCGCGGGTTCGAGACCTGCCTGGGCAACTTGGCGAGACCTCATCTCTACAATAAATCAAAAAATGAGCCAGGCGTGGTAGTGCACGCCTGTAATTCCGGCTACTCGGAAGGCTGAGGCGGAAGGATTGCTGGAGCCCAGCAGGTCGAGGCTGCGGTGGCCAGGAGCGGCCACTACACTCCAGTCTGGGCGACGGAGTGAGACTCCAACTCAAAAAAAAGACAATAATGTCACTAAAGAACAGAGACAGGCCTGTCCTTTGAACCCACCTCTAATGAAGCCATGGAGTTATGAGTGGCCATCAGCACTGCCAATCATTTCTGCTCCAGAAAAGATTATAGAAATCCTGGAATGCCTCCCAGATTTTCAAACAGATGCCCTGTGACCGGCAAGCCACCTCCACAAGTACTGCTTAGGTTTTTGTGAAAAAGAGAGAGGGGGTTGGGTGGGAATGCAGGAGAGGGGTAAAGAGAGAGGAAGGATGGGAAAAATAAATCTCCCGTTCTGAGGACAAACCTACCATGGTACTCTCTGAATGCTGTATGATACTGAGTATTGTTCAAGAAAGCAGCAGATTCTTTGACTCAACTCCTGTCTCATGAAATATTAGCTCACTGGTTATTTCAAAACAAAGCAAAAGTATGCCCAGGCAAGGCAAAGAGAATTGCTTCCAATTTTTGGCCAGGTCACTCAGTCTTTGCCCCCAGGACTCCCACCTTGGGAGAGCCCCATTCAGATGTGCAGAAAAGAGATGATTGACCTTGGAGAGGTGTTGGGAGCCAACAGCTATAGCTACATGGCTGAGGCCTGTAAAGGCCCATCTGGAAGATCGCCTCTGACATAGGATATCAGTTATACCTATGATATTGGCATGTGATTAGTGACCAGCAAGCATATATGGCAGTAAAATTTATAAGTAAATCTCTGTACACCTGATGGAAAGTTGCACAGTAGAATTATTTTATATGACCTTGTCCCTTCTAAGTTGTACTTCTTTCTAGATATTTTTTTACTTCTATTTCCTTGTAGACTGGTTAGTCAGCTCTTGTTCCCAAAGGCAGTTTCTCCTAGGATTAAGATTAGAAACTAAATTATCATAATAGTTTTATTGCCCTGCCCCTAGCCAGGCAGGACGTTTTCTTTTGTATTGTTAATTACCGAAACTCTGTCTGCTTCAGCCCATGGTCGCCATCTTGGCAACCCTGCATTTCCTTGTTCAAGAGTGTGACAGCTACTATTTGATTTTTAGAGTAGACATGTTAGGATAAAATATATACATATACACTCATAGTTGCGTAAAACTATGCTTGCTGTTTTGTTTCCTTTTGCTACATTATTCAAGTGTAATAGTTACTATATGATTTATAAAAGAATTAACGATAAGGTATTAGCTTAATAGGATATAGCATAGTATTAAAGTCCAATAACTAGATCATATAAAAATTAAAGTTTAGACATATGAAACATATGAATTATAGTAAAGTTTGGTAGTTTAAGAATAAGTTTTAACTGAGTTATAAGGCATTACGTTAAATCATAATAGGTTAATAGTATAACTGACAGTTAAGTCATTTAACTAAACATAGATTATAGTATAGTGTTAAGTTGATAATATTAATCGTTAAAAATATTGGGAGTCAGTGAACTTGGATTGAACCTAGAGTTAACTCAGAAAAGTTTTTTTTGTATTAATCAGGGTTTAGAACAAAGAGTATAATATGAATGATTTATTGAACACTATGGAAGACATTTTGAACAATTGAAATTGTGCACCTGTGACCTTGATGTGAGTTTTGTGAAGCACGTCAGGCATCATAGAGTTTGAATTGTCTGCTTGGAACTTGCAAGTCTCGTGATGGTCTTGTGATGCATGGTTTGTAAAGCACGGAACTTGTACGCCCCTAGCAAGTGATTATCACACTGCTGGAGGGTACAGAAAATGGTATATGAGTTGGAAAAGGTTTGAATAAAATCGGCTCCAGTCCTGATCAGACTGTTCCCAGAAGAACTGCCTCCGAGTGGTCTTCTCGCTGTCCAGATTCTCTGGTGCGGGTCCTAACCCACCCTTGGTCAGTGCAGGCCACCGACAGAGAGGGAGGCGAGGGAGTCTCTCTCCCAGCACAGGACAAGATAGAGCTGAAACGTCCATGTGCACTGTAGCTCCAAAGTCCGGAGGCTGACCGCCACACGCCACACGTGAGACTCGGCCTCACTAACTTGTGGCCCATCTCGGTACGCCCTGTCAGTGGCACACAGGACAGCGGCATAACCACAGCTCTTTCGCTACGCTGCTCACAACCTGTCAGCCATTCATCTCTCATCTTCCCTTTTAAAACTACCCCGAATTCATTTAACTCATGTTTTACTGGTGTTAAAGAGTACTGACTGAACAAGAGGAAATTTTGTATAAACGCATTAGGGCGAAGGTCATTTATTAACTCATTTTGTAATGTCTCCTATGTACTAGAGAGTGTCCCAGGTTTTAGGGATTCAAGACAGGCAGATGTTTGTTTACAGGGACAGTCTATGCTGTATTCGAGGCCTGTCACAGAAATTAACAGGAAGTAGCTGCTTCGTACATGTTTATTGAGAGAATGCGTAAAAGAGTGAAGCGTGTACCAATTGAAACAGCTCTGCCCAACTTCACCTAGTAAACCTCTGCGTTTGAAAGGGCTGAGACTTTCACCTGCTCCCGACTTTGGGGCAACCCTATTTTAAGGGAGACTTTTAACCATAAACTTTACTGGTTCACAGCCTGGTGTTTCTAAGAAGAAAAGCACATCCCTTTCTATATACCCTTTTCTTACTCATATATTAAAAAGGAGAGGGGGAAAAATAACTTCTGGGAAATAAGAAACAAGTTTTGCTGTTGTTGTTGTTGTTTTTAATGTCAAAGAGTTTGGTTTCCTCTCCGTACCTCTATAACATGTGTAGACAGCATTCTTTTCATTTGCTATTTTGGTTCAGACTTTTTATAACATGCCACAGCACGAACAGACTGGATTATTAAGCACAGAAAGCGTGGGTAGCTTTCTGGCCATGACCTGAGACATGTCGAGAGACTGCCCAATCAAAAACACCACCGCCCCTCTTAGGCCTTCCTGCCTGAATTTCCACCACCTATATCAGTTCTTTATTTTAAGGTCTTGGTATTATCACAATATCATTGGTGTCAGCAGACACTTATGGAGTACTTGCTGTGTATAGAATTCTCTGCCAGGCACTAGGCAATTTTTTTCCAAAGGACTCCAGTTAAAAAGCTGCTCTGATACTCATTGGGATGGTACCTTTATTCTAACAGACCCATTCCCAGTTTCTATCATATCAGCCAAGTAATAGGCGGCCACCTAGAAGAGACTGACAGCTGACTGCAGAGAGTGAAACACAGGACAAATAAGTTTTCGTTAGGATGAGTTTGGTCACCGGGATAGATTGCCAAAGCACCATACCTTGATTTACAAAATAGTCATGTTCTTATTAAAACTTTTTCATTCCTACCCTCTCTGGCTGTTAAATTAAAATGTTACTTTAAAATACTCAAATGAAGCCCCACAAGTTAAAAAAAAAAAAAGAGAGAGAGAGAGAGTGAATCCTTGACCGTGTAATTTCTTTTTTCTTTTCTTTCTTTTTTTTTTTCAAGTTGGAGTCTCGCTCTGTCACCCAGGCTGGGCTGGAGGGCAATGGCACACTCACAGCCACCGTAGCCTCAACCTGGGTTCAGGCGATCCTTCCGCCTCAGCCTTCCAAGTAGCTGGAACCACAGGCACGTGCCACCACGTCCAGCTAATTTTTCTTGACTTATTGTAGAGACGAGGTCTCACCAGGTTGCCCAGGCTGGTCTCGAACCTGTGGGCTCAGACAGTCCTCTCACCTCAGCCTCCCAAAGTGCTGGGATTATAGGCGTGAGCCATCACGCCCAACCGACCGTGTAATTTCATATATTTGACACACATTTAGTGAGCACCTACTATATACCAGGCACTGTGCTAAGCAGCTGAGGAACACTGTTGATCATAACAAAGACTGCCGGCCTTTGGAAGTTATGTTCAAGCAGCAAACCACGCAACTGG